TCTATGGTCCTGGTGTCGATTGCTGTTGTTCCCACTGCTCTCCTGTATTGCAGCGTGATTACACACAGATCCACAAAGCAAGGTACTCATTCGGTAGTGAGGGCGGCGGGAGAGATCAGTTTGACGGCCCTTGGGGACTAGCAACCAACAAAGCTGGTGACCTGATCATCTGTGACACCTGCAACCACAGAATAAAGGTATTTGGCGGAGTATAATGTGCATCTCCTTTTTTTAGCAATGTTTTGGCAATTTAAGATTCATCCAGAGTGTAATGCTCAGCCTATATTTGAGATCGTTATCGATCACAAAGACAGTACTAGTGTGCCACCATTGTTAGAATTTCCTATAAAGATATGGTTAAGGCATACATTTGTGTAATGTACCGATGCGGGTCTCGCACCCATCATGCATAACAGTGCAGCTGGCAGTTGACACCGGGAATGCATACATATGGCTTGCACCAGGCCAGAGGTGGCAAACTTCACAACGGTTTGATACATCGCACTACTTTTCCAAGTACATGTATATGCACGTCTGCACGCTGGCTTCACTCTTGCATCAACAAGGCTACATTGCTTCTACACGAGCTCAAAATCATCTCTCTCTCTGTTTCTGTCTCTCTCTCTCTCTCTCTCTCTCTCCCTCTCTCTCTCTCTCTCTCTCTCTTTCTCTCTCTCTCTCTCTCTCTCTCTCTCTCTCTCTCCTCCCCTCTCTCCCTCTCTCTCTCTCTCTCCCCCTCTCTCTCTCTCCCTCTCTCTCTCTCTCTCTCTCTCTCTCTCTCTCTCTCTCTCTCTCTCTCTCTCTCTCTCTCTCTCTCTCTCTCTCTCTCTCTCTCTCTCTCTCTCTCTCTCTCTCTCTCTCTCTCTCTCTCTCTCTCTCTCTCTCTCTCTCTCTCTCTCTCTCTCTCTCTCTCTCTCTCTCTCTCTCTCTCTCTCTCTCTCTCTCTCTCTCCTCTCTCTCTCTCTCTCCCCCTCTCTCTCTCTCTCTCTCTCTCTCTCTCTCTCTCTCTCTCTCTCTCTCTCTCTCTCTCTCTCTCTCTCTCTCTCTCTCTCTCTCTCTCTCTCTCTCTCTCTCTCTCTCTCTCTCGACGATCGATCCCGGAACAAGAGGGACCAGGATGCCTTTCTCAAGGACCCATATGCCTTCGGAAAGAAATTGTTTCAACCAACCAACCATGTCAAACCCACTTTCTCTGACACTACCTGCTTTGAGTACTTCCAACACACATATGCAGACCAGGATCGTGCCACTTCGTACGAATCCTGCCCCAGTGCAGGGAAGCCCCGGGATTGCACCCACCCAGTCGATGAGGGGACCCCTACATGGACTGAATTTCAGAATGTTTTGAAGAAGTGTCGCAACACCTCTGCACCGGGTCCTGACAAGATACCTTACATAGTTTGGAAGCTTTGTCCCTCCCTTCAATCCATTCTTTTCACCATCTTTGGGCGGGTTTGGGAGAGCAAGATCATTCCAAGGCAGTGGCAGGTAGCGTGTATCACACTCCTGGCCAAGGGGGAGGTGTCTGATGATCCTTCGAAATTCCGACCGATTGCTCTAGCGAACACGTCCGGGAAGATCTTTTTCACCTTAGTTGCAAAGCGCCTCTTGAAACATATGCTAGGCAATAAGTTCTTCGATGGTGACAACCAGAAAGGATTTATGCCTGCAAAGGCTGGGTGCTTAGAGCATACATCACTTTGTTATGAGGCGATGCGTGATGCAAAGACGGCAAAACGCCAAATTTGCATTGCGTGGATAGATTTGAAGAATGCATTTGGTTCAGTGCGCCACAATCTGATACAGTATGCTCTAACCCACTACAGCCTTCCTTTGCAATTCAGGAAATTAATTTTTTCCTACTACGACAGTCTTTGCGCTTTCGTCGTACAACCACACACACCCACCTTTAATTACAACATTGGTGTTTTCCAGGGGTGCCCCTTGTCCCCGGTCCTTTTCAATATTTGTTTCCAGCTTCTGCTGGACTCACTTGCAGCCCCTGAATTAAGTTGCCTCTCCTATGATTTTAAATCTGCCCCTTTGCAAGTGTCCCAAACAGCTTTTGCTGATGACTTAGGCATCTATAGCAAATCTAGTGCAGGTTGTCAAAAACTCATTGCGGTCACGGAGGACTTTCTCTCGTGGACCCAATGTATGCAGGCGGCGCCGCACAAATGCAAAAGCAGTGCAGCAAAGCTTGTAGATGGCCGGTACAAACCTTACGATCCCTGCCTGACAATGTCAGGGAGGAAGATCGCTTTCATTGACACTGCAGAGTTCAAGTTCCTGGGGCGAAGGCTGCATGCTGATTGCTCTGAGCAGACCCAGCGGGAAGACATCCGTCAACTCACTGTATCTCTCATGCAAAAAGTAGATGGCTCTTGGCTTCAAGACCACCACAAGCTATGGCTTTACCACCATCTTGTAGTGCCCAAGCTTTCTTGGTCTTTCCAGGTTCTTGAACTCACACAAGGTTTTGTACGTGAACTGCACTTTATGTGTTTACCATTTCTGAAGAAATGGTCAGGCCTACCTCGATGCGCAAACTCTGCCATTCTTTTTATTGGCAGTCGCAAACGCTTTGGCTTACGCCTCCACTACCTTCCTACGGTGTGGAAAAAGTGCCAGTCCATCAAATGGCACATTCTTCGATCGAGTGGGGACGCGCGCATGAGGGCGCTGTACACTCTGCGTCGGAGTAAGGATGCGAAGCTGACAAAGCGATATGCGGCGACAATAGAGCTGGAGTGTGCAGAGGCATCAGTAGGTTCAGGGACTCTCCGTCCACCGTCATCTTCAAGTCATCGTGCAGGGTTGGGTGCTCGTGCTCCGAAGCAGCATTCCAAACCCCCGAGGAAGGATCTCCTTCAAACATTTGAGGACATCAACGCGCAGGAGCAGATTTTGAGGCTGAAGACTCTTCAGGTGCAAGGCAAGTGGTTGGAGTGGACATCGGTGATGTGGCAGGACCTCTCGTGGAAATCCCTTTTGTACGGTGGTACTGGTAAGGATTTGAAATTTCTTCTCGCATCAACCCTCGACGTGCTACCTTCTCCGACGAACCTACGCCGTTGGGGAAACACCGTAGTGGATCCGTACTGTAGTTTGTGCCGTACCTGGGCCTGTACTACGCGCCACGTGCTTGGCGCTTGTCGCGTAGCGCTGGACCAGGGACGTTACACCTGGAGGCACGACAACGTACTCGGGGTCATCGTCAGGAACATGCGTGAGGAGATTCGAATCCGCACTGCTGCAAACACCGTACAAACCGAAAATTCAAATGAGCTTGACTTCATCTCGTTTTGCAAGGCGGGAGAGAAGCCAGTTCGCGTTCAGCCCAGACGAAAGTTGGTTACGACTGATCTCCTGTCAGCGGCCTCAGACTGGAAACTTCTTGTCGACTCAGTTAGTGCAAAGATTTCTTTCCCTAGCTGTGTTGCACTTACCACCCTAAGACCAGATATAGTTCTGTACTCTACGAGTCGTAGGATTGTATTCTGGATGGAGTTGACAGTTTGTGCTGAGGACAGATTCAGTGTCAGTAGCTCGCGGAAGGACAGGCGGTATGCGGATCTGGCCGATCAATGCCGAGCAAACGGGTGGCAGGTCGTTTCTTTTTCGGTTGAGGTAGGTGTGCGTGGTTTCATCCCGGACTCTCTTCGGAGGGCTCTGAAAGCGCTTGGATTTTCTAATCGAAGAATAAAATTTATTTGTAATTTGTGCAGTAAGACGTCTCTGCGAAGCAGCTACATCATCTGGTTGCGGCGTCAACAAAAACACTGGTCGGAAGATCCACTTTTCTGAGGTACTGTATGTGGGGCTCCGTTTATTGAGGTGCGTTGAAATTTATTCTCTTTATCTTATTATTTCTTTTCTATAATTTCCCCATATGAGTTCCTATCAGTTGCTGTGAACACCTTGAGTGGAGAGCGCTTGCTCGAGCGTTGAACCGGGTTCTTAATCCACCATACCCAGTTCGCAAGGCTGGGCGGGGTTGTGAGCAGGCTTTCATTTCATCTTTTCTTATTATTTCTTATTATTTCTGCTTTTCATCTCATTACAAAAATTCTGCGCTTTTTCTCCATCTGCGCATAAAATCTAGACTGACAACCTGCTTGTTAAATCATGCACCTGCTTTCAGGCGTAAAAACCCTGTTGTAGAGGTCTCAGTCCTCATTTGTTAGACTTACCTGTCTTTATAAATGTAACTTACTTTCTCTCTCTCTCTCTCTCTCTCTCTCTCTCTCTCTCTCTCTTTATCTCTCTCTCTCTCTCTCTCCCTCTCTCTCCCTCTCTCTCTCTCTCCCTCTCTCTCTCTCTCTCTCTCTCTCTCTCTCTCTCTCTCTCTCTCTCTCTCTCTCTCTCTTTTTTTCTCTCTCTCTCTCTCTATCTATCTATCTATCTCTCTTCCTCTCTCAGTAACAGTCAAAAATACCCGATAACGGACGGCACATGCGCCTCAAAAGCGGAGCTGGGAAAATCAAATAACATCGCATAGAGCTGATGTGAAAAGGGGGAAGTAGTAAAGTGATATCTCAGTAATCGAGATTCAAATTCCGAAGCCTGCGTCCGTGACAGCAGTGGTAGAATTGGTGCGAGAAATCAATCACCAGACAGTAAGAGGTTCTGCTAGTAGCCAATAGCTACTCATGTATGCGCATGCTGGATATGACATCATGCAGGTCCAAGCAATGCACACAAGCATGTCCTCTTTTAACACTACTTCGAAGTATCTGTTATCACCTTGCACATTTGTTTTCCTAGGGCATGCCACACTAGAGAGAAAGTGTGAAATTCCGAGTGATAGCTTTTTTCCCTATACAACATCACTCATGTACCTGAATCACTCATTATCTACACACTCCACTGATGAGCTCTGTTGCTGTGTTGGAGTGAACCGCTGTCTGCTGGGTCTGAATATCAACATCTCAATGGGATTGTCTTCGCTATGGTTAAAACTTAAATAATGAATCGTCCTCGCTATGGTTGTGATGTGAATGGGTCGGCCATCAGCGAATCGGGGAGTGGAGGTTTGCCTGATATTTACTGGGCGAGTTTGTGGCTAGATTCTCACCATAGAATTACATTCTAATGTATATGTTTAGATCAGGGCTATGTCTGTGCGTACGTGTGTGCTTGAATTTGTTATTGTATTCCTTTTTGTTAATGCACTTAGATACATGGGGTTGATGGCCAGTGCAAGCAGACGGTTGGCGTCGAGGGAAGAAACTGTGGAGAGTTCTATGCCCCAGACGCTGTGCATGTAACAGATGATGAACGAGTGATCATTGCTGATACTGGTAACCACCGACTACAGGTATGGTGTTGGTGTTTCGCTACTGTTGTACTTGAACACTCCACATCCTACAACCTGCACAGAGGCAAAAACATCTAGGTTCTGTCTACCCCTGCTCTGTCTACCCTGCCCATTCCACCCCTGCTCGATCCACCCCTGCTCACACATACATGTACATGGCGAACTCTCACGCGCACTTACACACACACACACACACACACACACACACACACACACACACATGCACACACACACACACACATCAACACACACACATGAACACACACACACACACATCCTGGTCCTGGTCCTGGTATACACTGCCATGTAGGTCACGTGTTTCTCGTTGAGCGAGACGGAGACGAGAGGAGAAATGAGCGTTGGTGATGGGATAAGTCGTTTCGCCTCTTGAAACGCCTCTTGCAATTCTGACATTGCAATTGGAACTTGTCCCTTTCATCAGCAGTTGGACGCCTGGTGGATCGGTTGCAGTTGTGGATAGCAAAGCCCTGAATCGACTTACAGCAACGTTCACAAATGGAACAGTGAGCGGGACAGCACGGTTTCCGAATACATAGGCGTACAGGTGAAGAGCTTGTGGCATTGGCAACATTCGGGGCAGAACAGGACTGGGTACAGCGATGTTCTGCAATGCCACCCGCACTCCGAAACTATCGGTGACACTGGGAGCACTGGCGGCTGTTGGCTTGCTGCTGGACTGGTTTACGCCGTTCCATGATGCACTTGTGGCGGGCAATATCTTACTGCCGAGCAAAGCTTGCTTGCTGTCACTCAGATCGTTCCTGCGCTGTGTCAAACCATGACTTGTCGGCGATGTTTATTCGTCGCAGGTCGACCCTAATTGCGTCTCGCCATCGTTTCCGCGGGCCACACGCTGGGTATGGCGGCAGCAATGTGCCAAACAACAACATCCGCGGAACACACACACACGCACACACACACACTATCATGTATTGTACTTGGTCCGTTTCATCGCAATTGTCGCTTATCTATCGCAACTAAGAACAGGAGTTATTTTATCGCTCTGTAAAATTTCTAAAACGCATAGCGAGGAACCATGATACAGGATTCCTCTCCGCCACAAGAAAAATAATTCAGCGATGGAATTTGATGAAGCAAGTCGAAGAAAGGAAGCAACGTTACAAAAAATGTACAAAAGAAAACAGCGACGGAGCGCGTTCTTGCACTCACGCTTTAGTTTATCCGACTCTGGCTCTGTATCACTCGAGCTGATGTCACTTGAGCTGACATTCGCTGGTGTGTTTAGCTGCTGGCGTAGAGTATCTCTTGCTTTCTCCGCTTGGCGTATGGCAGCGATGGGAAAGGAACAGTCGTGACTGTCACTTTGGCACTTGGAGGAGCGTGGGCAGCGTGACCGGTGTGTCACCACTGTGTGTTTCAACAATGTTTTTGAATCAGGCACACATCCCTCTCCAGACAGCAGTCATACGCTCTGCTGGATACGCTGACAAAGCCTCTTGTACTGCCGCTGCCAGGTCGGACAATGTCTTCTTTGTCACCATCTCGCCATCAGTTTGCAGGCTTGCAAAGAATGCCAGGTCGTTGCACTTGCAGTTCAAACGTGGCGACTGAGCTGGCTGGCCTGGCCTTGACTGTCACGCTCTCCAGGTCAGGATGTCGATTTCCCCTGCTACAGGTCCGGTCTTCGAGCTGCGCTTGGCTTTTCGCTGCAGTGAATGTGTGCATTCGCTGCAGTGCATTCACTGCAGCGAAAAGTTCCCCACTTTCCCATCACAATCGTACGAATCGCGATGCCACTGGCGCTAGTCTCGATGGTTTTTTCTTTCTGGTCTCCTTTGATCTTGCCATCACAACCTCCCAAACGAATATGAGTTAGATATCGAGATCGGACTGGGTTTTACCTGTCAAAAGGTGCGTGGGAGATAAGCGACAATTGCGATGAAACGGACCAAGTAGTTATACTGTTTATGTTGGTAATCCCAATTCAAGTCTTGCTTCGCACACTCACTTCTAGCCACCGTGATCGTGAAATGAGGATACTGGTCATAAGCATTTGACCAAGTTATTGTCTATTTCTAAATCATCTTTTATCTCTGCTGTCTGCCTCCATGCCCTCCTGTGCAGATCACTGACCAAAACTTCTCAGAGTTCAGCACTATAGGAATACGTGGAATAGAAATTGGCGAGTTCCATGAGCCAATTGGTGTTGTCCTAGTCAACCACAGTGTACTGGGCCCGTGCTTTGCTGTGGCAGATAACTACAATCATCGGATTCAGGTCAGAAACGTAACCAGACAGTACACACTGTACATGTACAGTTGTATTGTGTAAAATCCCTCTCCTACCCACTAACAGTGTACTGTGGTATACATAAAGATAGAACTAGCCTATATCACTGTTCAGCATCAAGTTGTGGGACTGTTTTCAATCATGTAACAGAAGATGAAGCATTATGGTGATCTCATTAGGCACAGATACATAGCTGAGCGAGGGAAACTAATCTCACAACAAAGGGGTGACTGCAAGCATAGGGCTTCTTCAAGGACGGACCAACGGTCACTTTTCGGGATCATGTGCGAGAAAATTTTTGAATCGCTGGTTAACAGGCGAAGCCCAGGTCACATTCAGTTTGTCGAGAATGGACGCGTGGAGGTGAAAGAAGCAATAGGATGGCGCTCAACTTCATGTCCAACACTCGTGTTGACTCAGAGCAGCTTCCGGGAAGCCCTTTCATGGCTTGGGCGAAAATGAACAAGCTTCAAAATCAATCCAAGCTCTGGTTGAGACAACCCTGTCACATTTCGTATACTTTTCAATGCGCGACCTGTTCACCACAATCTCGGGGTGAGTGCCTTTTACGGGCACGGCGTGGTGTCCTTGAAAAAGCACTATACTCCTTTTGACCGGTGGTTCAAGAGTTGCGGAGATTCGCCCTCAATTTATCTTTCCTGCCTCTGGATCCAGATCATTATGCATTGCCTGACCTACCTGACCCTTCTGTCTGTGAGTCAATGCAATAGGAGCGCTTTATGTGTGTGTGTGTGTGTGTGTGTGTGTGTGTATGTGGTGTGTGTGTGTGTATGTATGTGTGAGTGCTGTGTGTGTATGTGTGTGTGTGTGTGTGTGCGTGCGAGCACACGTGTGTGTGCGTACATATATACATGCTCGCACGCATTTACAACTCACTGCATCCGTTCTAGAACTACGATAGATCGGCACTTGAACAGAGTGCACATATCCGCATGCGTCATAGCGCCTGTACAACCATAGATCGACACATTAACGTACTTAACCGTACACTTCCTTGAAATGAATATTCCATAGGGGAACACATTCCTTCTATCGTGTTTTCAAACAAATATCAGTCGAATACTCGAATAATCCTTGCAACCCTAATTACGAATCTCACAGATAATTATCTTCTATGTACACTGGTACTGTACAGGTTGTGCCATGCAGTGGTGAGACAGGATATGCATTTGGAACAGAAGGTAGTGGTCAAGGCCAATTTCAATACCCAAGCGGCATCACAGTGTACCACAACAGATTGTTAATTGCAGACGAGAACAACCATTGTATACAGGTATGTTATCATGTTCAGCTGGCACCCACATCAACAACGATACCAAAGACGACGACAACCGCAACGACGACGACGACAACAACAACAACAACCAAAACAGAAGCAGCATCAACTTCATTTTCCTATCGTTGTGTCAGGAATTTTTCTAAAGTCGGTGGATGCTCCGAATGGTTGGAAATGGCATTTGCAGCTAATTGACGACACGGGTCTGACTGCTGGCTGTAGTCTGAAACACATGAGCAACACGTCAAACTTCGCACTCACAAATCTGCAAGAAAAACACCACTCTCTGCTCAATATGCATTGCTCTGCTAAATTCACCCTGTTTCAGTTGAGCTTCAGAAGGATTCTGGAATCTGACGGGATGTGTTAATTGGGTGGATGCATGCAAACTTGACTTGTTCTAGAAATTATAGACGTACTTTGGGAATTCTTCTGTTTCTGAGACTTTACTGCTATTGATAATCCATCTACCAGGCTAAGCACTAGACAGGTTCGGGCAAGAAAACATTCATTCAATCAGAAATGAATGTGTACGTCATGCAAATGCTTGTTGGCCATGTTTGCCTGTTACTTGTCCTTTTCAGTGTAAGAGTGTATAGGCTGATGTGAAGTTAGACTCTTAAACATCATGTCTATACATCATGTCACAAACCAAACAGTGTCTGTGCTACAATAAATACATACATAGTAATCAAATGTTGGTGCCAGGTCCATGTCTTACCTCAGGTTTTGAGTTTTTACAGTTGCACACCAGTAACCTTATCATCATTACAGTCATAATGATAGTAGCTATGCACTGTGTGTTGGAGTATTATTCTTACACTCCTGTTATATCTATACTCTTGCTGTCACCACAGTGGTGTGTGTGAATGTTCAATTTTTTTATTCCTGCAAATGGTGATGACCGTCGATGGAGAGTATATCACTTCGTTCGGGTCTCAGGGCAGCGCTTTTGGGCAGCTGTGCCAACCGTATGATGTCGCTACAGATGCCTACGGCAATGTTCTAGTCGTAGATCATGGCAATGGACGTGTTATGGTAAGGGAGAGCTTGTTGTGTCGTGTTCTTCTTTCTAAATACCTACAGGCAGAGAGTAGTACCCAGTACATATACAACAGTGGAGCATGGTCAGTTTGTTGCTAGTCTGTGATTCATGGTCAGTACAATCATCAGACAACACTGATATGAACACAGAAAGTGATGTACACTGCATGCACAGAGTACAAGACAGTAAAGCAAGAGTACATTAGCTCTTACAGAATATTGCTTTGCGTTCTTGAATCGTGTTGTCCAATGGTCTTTCCAGTGTCGTCATCGACATGCATGAACATCCGCCAATAATGCATCATCCATACATCTGTACCTCTAGAAACTTGTGGAGACATTTAGGAAATATCGCTGAAAAAGTTGCGAGGTAAAATGCCACAAATTTCGTCCGATTTTGTTACTTGTAGTGTAGTGAGGTAGGATTGTGCTGCGCTGTACTCGATTACGACTGGGTTCAAGTGATGACAGGAGCTTGCAAGACAGTTTTACTCCATTCTCCGACAACACTCGACGCGAGCCTTATTTTATTTTTTACTTTTCAGCCGCTGATTTGCCCAGAAACTTCTCCATCCTGGTATCGATCTCACAAGTAAACTACTGACGAGCTTGAAGAACTAAACAACATCGAAGAAAGATTCCAATATTGTGGGTGCTTTTCGAAATATCGCGGTGCTTTTCAAGTACGAAGGACAGTTTTGTACAATAATGCGGATGATTTTTCAAATAGCGTGGATATCGCGGAATTTTGTTCGAATCGCGGAAAACAACGCGGTCACGGAATCGCAAATTCCTGGAGGGACAGATACATCAACCATAATACATCACCATACATCATCCATACATCACCATGCATCAACCATCTATAATACGTGTTATTCCTGTACGCTCACCAATGTTGTCCATGTTCTCTGCAGGTATATGCCGCAGAAACTTACACTCCACTGGCTGAGTTTGGAAAAGGAGAGCTGGACAAGCCGATGGGTGTCTGCGTGACAAGTGAGGGCTTAGTAGCTGTTTCCTGTGATGGAAGCCACAATATTTTTGTGTTTTAAAGGTTTCTTGTTAGACTTCCAGCACCCTCTGTCACCATGTTACTTCTAGGCAACATATCTGTACAGTCATACATTAACACACACACACATACATACACACACACACACACACACACATACACACACACACACACACACACACAAACGCACGCATACACACACACACACACATATATACACACACACACCATTGATCATCCATTTGGCGCCCATCGCCAGAGGCGATGAAAGCGATGCTACAGTAGAAGCCATAGCCACTTGTGCTGGGATTGCACCATTTAAAAGATTGCAAGCCTGAAGAATTGACCGCCACTATTCAGCCTGGTCTACACCTCACAGCTATTGAGTGGCTTTTTCTGTCCAGTGAATCCCTACACACACACACACACACACACACACACACACACACACACACACACACACACACACACACACACACAAACACACACACACACAAAACACACACCACACACACACAAACCAGTTTGGTAGCAGGACCAGTATTTCTTAGGTAGCTCCTGGATTCTTGATCCTTGTTCACCCTGACTCGCAGGAGAATGATGTTCCAAATTGTTAGAAAACTCTTTGTGTTCTAGGTTGTATACCATTTTGCATTGCGACTAGTTTGTAAGAGTTCTGATTTATTGACTTATATATTTACTATTGTGGATTGCTTTCTTACAGATCAATTATCCTGCTTCGAAGTATTAGAATTGCTAGTCAACATTGCCTTGACTTGTGCACAAAGAGATCATCCTTTTCCTTCTTCTGATTCTGTCGACTCTTAGTGCCACGTACACATACATGGATGAGGCTTTGACGGCCGGCTGTATTTGTACATTATGCATTGTGTACAATGCACCTGATCAGTGCTGGTGGTCTGCATGGCAAAGAGTTTGGAGGTCATGCAGATAGTGTTTTCAATGAAAAGCAGGGTAGAAATCATGGCAATACATTATTGTATGCTCGAACTAGTCTTCTTCAAAGTTCTTTCTCACACTGACACAGTACATGTAGCAGAAGATGCGAGTGAATCAGCCTTCATCAGGTATCTTCTGTCCCAGGGGAAAATTGCGGAAAAAAATCGCAAAAAACGCGGGGAAAAACGCGGCATAATATGGCATAATTTGCGGTGAATTTGCGGTAAATATGCGGTAAATATGCGGTGAATAATATTGATGTGCGGCAATTTTCAGTGAGTATGTAGTGAAATCAATCAGTTACAAGTCTCTGGTGTAAGCACTCGTCATATTTGAGTAAAAAGCCGCCACGATGAGACGTTGCTGACCGAACAGTGCACTGTGTGTACGTGTAGTGCAACAAAAAAGTTCAAAAAACGCGGGAAAATTGCGGAAAACGCGGTCTTTTAAAAAATCGCAAAAAACGCGGAAAAAAACGCGGCCGCGGAATTGCAATTTTCCCCGGGGACAGTATCTTGGGGCGGACGAGATACATGTAGTGGCGGGTAGTCCGCAAAACTCCGTGTACATGTACATGTACTTGTACATTAGGCCAAGTAAAATAAAATCCCAGTTTATCGTCCTTTTTTTCACAAAAATCGGGGAGGGAGGGCGGATTTTATTTTTATTTTTTATTTTTTGATGTGCTACAGACTAGTATAGTTCTTGGTAAACAATGACACATCATGTGCAACAATCTGCAACAGAATAGTGGTAGTGTATGGAATACACAATGCTATAACAGATATATGTACATAAACAATTACATGCAAAATCTTTGGATCGACAGATTGTCACTCCACTCATAAGACACAAACCCCAATACTGTTTGGTTCGCACAGACCACCAGATAAATGATAGAAAGCCTTAGCCGACGTAAAAAATCAAGCTTTTTGGCAAAATTCTAGATTTAAAAAATAAAAATAAATTCTGGGCGGCCTCGAAAAATGGGGCGGGCGGGGACGATAAACTAGGATTTTTTTTACTTGGCCTTATGCATGTTACGAAGTCATGACCAGTCTGGATTTTAGCAGCCATGATAATATCATGACGGCAGGCTACGGATATTGCTTTAAATTGATGTATAGTTGTTGCAAACCACCAGTTCTCAATTGGGAAAGGCCTTCGCGCTTATGGCATTGTATTCGTCGCAATGTTGTCTTTCGACTCCGCCGTACCGCTGATGTTGTTGCATGGCATACGCTATATGCGCTGTGTGTGTTTTGCTGTATACGCCGTTACATGTATGTCCAGTTTTATATGCGTATGTTTTTGCATGTACGCTGTTTTTGCATGCTATAAATAGCTGGTGTTATTAGTGTTCATTGTTAATTATTCGATGAAGTGAAATATACTGTGTAAAGGAAAAGAGTTGTCCTCGTGCCGTGTGGTCGTACGATCCTGACAATTTAGAGAATCTTAGAGGGTTCATAACATTTGGCGACCACGCCAGGATAGGAGCGAGCATGGCAGAGGAACTATGGAGCAATTTGGAAGCCAGCTTTATCGACAATGGAGAGCGGTTAGGGTTAGAAGGCGAGTTGTTGAAGGTACATGTGGAGCAGAGGCTCCAACAGTACGCGGAGCGTGAGGAGCGCAGTGCCAGACGGCGAGAGGAGGCGCTCCGCACCGAGTTTGCCAAAACACTAAAGGAGATTAACGAGCGCATCGCCAATGCGCATGAGGGTGAGGGTAAAGCCGCGATGGGAGGTACAGAGGAATCTCCCAGTCACAGCGGTGGGCGTCAACCGTTGATGAAAATCCCCTCATATGATGGAACGCAGCCATTGGAGCGTTATCTTGACCTGTTCGAGGACATCTGTTCCAAGAACGAGTTCGAAGAAAGCGAATGGCTGCTGCGACTGCGCATCGCGCTAGCGGGTAGCAAAGCGGAGAGGATATGTATTGGATGCAATAATTACGAGGAAGCAAAACGAGAGTTGCTTGCCTCGCTCGGAAAGACTCCGGATAAAGCGTGGAAGACATTGCTGACAGGCAAGCAGCGGTCAGATGAGTCGTTTCATCAATACGTTGTCCGTGTTTGCCGAGAGGTAGAGGTGTGGGCCACACTCGCTATGACAGAAGATGGCGAGGTGGACACCAAGTATAGCGCCGATATAGGTAAAATGTCCCCGGTGCTGCAAGCAATGGCAAAGCTTGGAGCAATGCGGACCTGAGATGAAGACGTACCTGGTCGAACGACAGTGCTACGGGATGTCACTGCGCCAGGTACAGGAGCACGGCGCGTCTTACCAGGTCGCGCACGGACGGCAGGGTGATACTGCCAGGAAGCCAGTAGAACGATCCGTGCCAAGGCCCACTGCGTCGGCACAGTGCATGGCGATATCGGTCGCAGATGCAGCGAAGCAGCTAAAGTCGCTGCCACAGGAAGGGAGAAAGGGTTTTCTGCAGCAAGAGAGACTCTGCTGGAACTGCCTTAAGTATGGCCATATGGCCAGAGAATGTCGGTCAGGCTCGAGATGCACGAAATGCCAGAGGAAACACCACCTGCTAATACATGATGTGTTGGATAGAGCAGGTTACAGCCGGGAGAAACCGACTGAGATAGTTACGGAGAAGAATGTTGGGTCGTGCTGTCTACACTCGCCAAGTGTGCGGCTGATGACCGGAGTGGCACGAGTTGAGGGAAGAACTCGAAACGCGAAGGTTCGCGTGTTCCTGGACTCGGGTGCTGAGGCGTCATTCGTGACTGCAGCGTTGGTGTCAGCAATCGATGCAGAACACGTTGGGGTTGAAAATGTAGAGGTGAAGCCGTTCGGCGCGGAACCAACCCAACAGCGCATGGATAAGTACGCCATCACGATCCAGGGTAGCTCCGCTAGCATTCGGGTACGCGCGTTCGTGAAACCAACGCTTGAGCTGGACTTGAAGTGCGCAAGTCCGCAGACCATTGCGCAGTGGCACAGTTGGGGAGTAGAGCTGAGTGACAAGCCTCAACAAGGGACATCAGACGAAATACATATGCTGATTGGTGCAGACTATATCAACACGGTACTGCACAGCAAGAAGGAAGTTAATGGTGAGACGGTGTGGAACACAGAGATAGGTAATGTATTATCTGGTCCAGCGTCTGCACCAAGTCGAAACAGTCAGCCGGTGACCGTGTCATGTGTCACAGCCCAAATTGAACAACTATGGCAGTTGGATGAACCTCCAGAACAACATCAGCACCTGCCATCGTTCCCGCTATGTCGCCAGGGCAGCGGGTACCAAGTGGGTCTCTTGTGGCGAAATGAGCGTCGCCCAACGGATAACTTTGCTCAAGCTAGAGTCATCGCAAAGCGGCTTCTTGAAAAGCTGAAGAGGAATGGGAAGCGTGCGCTCTATGATGATGTGCTGATCAGGGAGTACCGCGAGCTTGGAGCAATTGAGCTGGAGCCATGTGAGAGCGATGCCGGGTACTATGTACCGCATCATGGTGTATTCCGCGAGCACGCTGCAACCACGAAGTTAAGAGTGGTGTTCAATGCCTCAGCGACGGCACCAGATGGCAAGTCGTTGAACGACATGGTTGACCCTGGACCGTCGCTATTGCCGAGTCTCGCAGGTATGCTGTTACGGTTCCGTGAATATAAGAGCGCGCTGCAAGCGGACATCCGCAAGGCTTTCTTCATGGTCGCGGTTAATCCCGAAGACCGTCCGTACCTGCGTTTCTTGTGGCCCGGTCGAAGCGACAGCGATGAACTGTTAACCTGGAGGCTAACGAAACTGCCATTTGGCGTAAACTGCTCGCCGTACATGCTTACTGCGGTGATTCAGCATCACTTGAAGGAGCTACGGGCGTTGTCTGCACCTAAAGAGCGAGATCGTATTGATCTCTTGCTCACGAGTTTCTACGTTGACGATTTGGTCTCTAGTGTCTCAAATGCCTCGGAAGCCAAGGAGATGCAAGAGTTCAGCGTGCGTGTGCTTACGGATGCTGGCATGGAGTTACGCAAGTGGCGAGGCAACGAAATCCCGTGCGATCCAGAGGCCGGAGATAAAGTCCTCGGTCTGAAATGGAAAACCAGTGATGACTTG